ATGTTAACCTATACAATATCTTGCCAACTACAGTCAAGAACTCATCACAGACACGTTTTAAAAAGGGCATAAAAAAATTTCTCATTGATGAAGGCATTTATAGTATAGACTAGAACTATGTTGCTGTATCGCTGCTTTTCCAATGTTTTGACACAATCAGAATCAACGAACTTAGGCGTGCGCAGCATTATAGAACAGTGCTTTCAAAAAAATGTTGAATAGCGCCAGCTAGTGGCGAGTTACAGAAAAATTGATAGCCTTAAAACGTTCTCTATGAAAAATTACTTATACATGTCAAGTTTCTTCACGATCGGTTGAGCGATGTAGAAGTTTATCACTTACCAACCAACCAACAAACATCTATTTTTATATATTAGATGAATATATGGCTGCTTCCATGGTAATGCCCGGATTTATCTTTGAGGCGGAAGTGCGTGTGATAATAATATTTCAAAAATGTTATTGTATTTTGTTATACAGTGCTGCTTGTAATAATTTATTTTGGAAATTATTGTACCCCTTTACTGTAGTGTTAATGTTTTCATTCAGGTATCATAAAATTTTAAATGTTTGATTCATCACCTGACTTGCTACAAATGTTTTATACATATACGTAGTCAAATGAACTATCTATCTATCCATCTAACTATCTTTCACTATGTCCAGTAACAATCCCAATGACATTTATAACACAGGACAAACATGCCTTTCGAATTAACTTTTGCATTTTCTTAAGGACAGAATACAAGCACTACATGAGAATAGTCAAGGCGCTCTAAAACGGTGCCTATGCAAAAGTAGCGATTCACGTTGGATTTGAATCGCTGAAGATTTAATGAATTTGGAAAAACGTTTTCTTTTCCACATACACGCAGTTCTCCAAATGGAAGAGTTCTTAAGCGGTGAAGTTCAAGATGTACTGACTTGAATTTCGAAACAATGAGCAGTCACAGTCCGTTGCGTATTTCTGATATGTACCGGTCTTGGTGAAATCAAATATGCCTAGTCAGTTGAACACCTCTCGTGAATACAAATCTCCAACTAATGTATTTTGGAAATATTGTACCCCTTTACTGTAGTGTTAATATTTTCATTTAGGTATTATAAAATTTTAAATGTTTGATTCATCACCTGACTTGCTACAAATGTTTTATACATATACGTAGTCAAATGAACTATCTATCTATCCATCTATGTATCTTTCACTATGTCCAGTAACAATCTCAATGACATTTATAACACAGGACAAACATGCCTTTCGAATGAAATTTTGCATTTTCTTAAGGACAGAATACAAGCACTACATGAGAATAGTCAAGGCGCTCTAAAGCGGTGGCTATGCGAAAGTAGCGATTCACGTTGGATTTGAATCGCTGAAGATTGAATGAATTAGGAAAAACGTTTTCTTTTCCACATACACGCAGTTCTCCAAATGGAAGAGTTCTTAAGCGGTAAAGTTCAAGATGTATTGACTTGAACTTCGAAACAATGAGCAGTCACAGTCCGTTGCGTATTTCTGATATGTACCGGTCTTGGTGAAATCAAATATGCCTAGTCAGTTGAACACCTCTCGTGAATACAAATCTCCAACCACTCTTCGATGTTCCAGACTATCAAGGTTGCAAGATATATTTGAGTCTCCAATTAGGCGGATTGCACTTTTCTGGATGGAATCCAGTATCTGCAGGGTATGCTTATGCGAACAATACTCCAAAGAATGTCTGATCTGAGCTTTATGAAGCATCAAAAGTTGCTGAGGTGGGTGCAGTTTTCTGGTTCGGAACAGTGTTCCAAGCTTTTGAGAAGCAGCCTCTTCAGCGACATGATTCTGCCAAGACATGTTCGTGTCCATTTCAACCCCCCAATAAATTCATCGAAGCAGGATTGTCCGTCCTGACCTTATTATATCTGGTTCGGAAACATTTATCTTTTTGGATAAAACCGATGGTTGAATTTTTGTGGCATTGAGTTGAACCTGGTTATTCCACCCTAATTTAAAATCTTTTCTAGATCCTCATTAAGAAATGCAACCTACTTCAGCTGGTGTAGATGTATTTCCGCAACCGATATCCTGGAATCCAAATGGAAAGACGAGAAAAGTGCGTGCTGTCGTCAGCAAAGCAATCTACTGAATTCCTATTTTTTTTCCATAATTCATTGATTTTCAATAAAAAGGGATTTGAAGAGAATATGGATCACTGGGAAATACCAGCGTTGTTAGTTGAACTATTCGAGAGATATCCATCGACGGCCTTGCAGGAAACGTTCTTTCAGGAAACTGGAGAGCCATACACAAAAATGATCTGACAAGCATCGATCTGATACCATCGAAGTTTGGCCAGCAAACCCTCGTGCCACACACGGTCAAAGGCTTCAGAAATATCAAGCGCAACAGCTCTTGACTCTCCATGTTTCTCGATTGGGTTATTCCAAATATCAGTGACATACGATAGAAGGTCGCTTTTTGATCTTTGTTAACGAAAGCCATTTGGTGACCGCTCAATATGTTACAACCCTCTGAATGTTCAAGGATATGGTGTCTATGACTTTCTTCATGATTTTCAATATCACTGATAGCAAAGCTGATGCATGATTGACATATCAATAAATTTACTTGGTTACAGCCACATTAAGCCAATATTTTCTTCAGATCGTCATTGATTTATATTTATTATTTCTTTCCGTGCCATCGTTTATTAGGTGGAATATTGGATTTCTGGTGTCCAACAATAGGCCGTTTATATATATAAAAATAAAATAATTGAAGACGAAATGGATCATTGAGTTCACCAGCGTATATGGTGAATTCAATCGCATTGACACTTGTGAAATCAGGAAATATGAATAGATATGAAAAGGAAAGACTTTTCAACAGACCTTTTCATCATAAGACGAGCGCAAGTGCAGCTGCCAAATTGAAATGGCGATAATTCAAAACATTCGTACTGTTTTAATCAACAATGGCTGGGCAAGGAATATTATCTCTACAAATGAATAAATTATTGGAAAAAACCAATAATGGTGCTTCACTTGTTTATAATTCAGTTGAGGCTCATAATTTTGAATAATTTAAAAGGTGGTTAAAACGTCATGGGCGTCCGCAAAAAGGAAATAAAAAGGAGAAAAAGTGAGCTAGAGAGGTTAGGTATCAGCATTTGTTTACTATCTTGAAACATATAAAAAATAGTAAATTCAGTTGAGGCTCATAATTTTGAATAATTTAAAAGGTGGTTAAAACGTCATGGGCGTCCGCAAAAAGGAAAAAAAAAGGAGAAAAAGTGAGCTAGAGAGGTGAGGTATCAGCATTTGTTTACTATCTTGAAACATATAAAAAATAGTATTCACAGTTTTATTTTTATTACTAGTGTCAATTCATTTGGTGTAATTGAGAATATATTTCAGATAAATAAATCAAGCCAAGAATATTTTGAGGCTGTACATATGACATTATTAATTAGACAAATATGTAAATACTGAATTGAATATGTTTACTAATTTTTATCAGAGGAAAATATTTAATACAACATAATATGTATATGAAATTTATGAAATTTACAGTCAAAAATGCATTAAGGAATAATATACGTATGTTGAAATTCCTGACAGCTTAAAGGATCAGGGTTTTGCTTAGTTGGACCACTTTCTCCAATGACATGTAGTGAGCAAATATAAGTATCCTTGGTAACATCATCAATAGATTTAAAGCCTCGATCACTCCTGCCACATTTTTTCACTCATTCACATTTCGCACATTTTGCACATGCTTTAATATGTAATTTGCTTGATGATTTGATTGCAATATTCAAGACAAAGCTTTGGAAAATTTATAAAATAGTATGTGTTGGTTTTAAATTATTTGTATCGTGTATCACTTTTACATACTCCATAACAACACCGTTTTGTTGTTCCTTTACGTACAGGTAACATAATTATAATGGAGTATAAAAATTTATTTCTGATTATTTCGACTTACTACTTTTTTTTTCAATTTTTACAATTAATACACATTAATAAACTTCAATTTATATTTTAATTTTCGAAATATGACTTGCGGGCTCTTTAATATGGTTGTTTACAAAAAACAGTACGAAAAAGATGGCTGATACTGACGCATGCGCACAAAAAAAATGTGATGAAAAGACCTAGATATTATTCAATACTGTTTCTCGATTGCATTGTTGAGTGAGGTGTTATATGTAAAAAGGTCAGCTATTTATTTTCGCTTTTGAAAATCATATTGAGGACCACTTGAGATAATGGATCATTCCAAATATTGAAGTATAAATTGATCACCAATTTTCGATAATTTTTGACATTACTGCAAGCAAAGTAACAAATGGTTATTTGAATGATTTGTTTTGCCATTTTTATGCTTGGACTCAAGGTTGAAGAGCCTACTTCAAAATAGTGGTACAAGTTAATTGGGCATTGTTCAAGTTCACTGTACAAGTTCTGTTGAGCTAGTCAGTGTTCCTCTGGTTGAACGCCTTCAAAAAATATTGTCCGGCTTTATAGGTTATTCAGTGGGGTTGAAGGGTCGTGTTTGCGGTTGAAAATCAACTGTGTGGTGAGTTGCAAATTATTTTCAAATAAATTAGCCTTTTGTGTCACTGTTGTTGCTGTTGAATCAACTACTTGTGTGAATGGTGACCAAGTTCAGACCAACTAAAAAAACTAGAATTTTTGTACATAATGATAGATCATACGAGTCTGAAAAAGGTATCCTTATTGGTATTGACTCGAATCTGGAATGAGATTGTGGTCTGATGACCCCGATGAAGATTTTACAGTGACTGTATCACTGTAATGTTGATTCGGTTCTTTCATTTTGGTAATTAATCAACAATGCGTTGATTTGGTTCAACTTCTATTCCAACATGCGTGAATACATGCGTGGATCCCAAATTACCATAAGTTTTTGATTCCAGATCTCAGCGAAGTGAAAAAGTTTGCTGGAAACAATGAAATGATCCCTGCTCAACTGCAGCTTGTAGGTGTTCAACTTCTGTTCACGATGAGAAGGTTCAAATTAAAGTCAATGATAATGGGCTTCTCTTGAGAATCGTCATGGAAAAAGACACAGGACCCTTTTGCTACGACCCATACCCGACGGTTTCCAAACAGAATACCAACTCCTTGAAGAAAGAAAGTATCACGAAGAAAGATGAAGGAAAATCATGCTGTTGTTTTGGAAGAAAGTCAAGAAAAAGAAGTAGGGCTTTTTTGGCTGGATTGGCAACCAACTTAGGTGAGTAACTCAGTATACTTTTTCTATACAAAATAATTGAAATGAAGTGAAAAACTATGTAAAATACTCATCTCGATTTAGAGAAGGTGAATATTCGTGATGAAAGAGAAATTAACCCTTACAATAAAAAACGAATTTCCATAGAAATCAGTAAACAATATTGACGATTATTGAGTTATATAATGAGAATGTCGCACTAGATTAGGAGAATTTATAATACAACTCTACAATTTTTTTTAATGAAAATCCCTTCCATTCATCACCATAACATACTAAATTTCGATCAAAGCTATTGTGACGAACTTATCATTTAAACAGCAACTGAAATTGATTTCAGATACCTTTTCACTGCACAAAATTCACATCATGACGAAAATGTTTGAAGTTTGTTTCTTACAAATCATGTTTCACCTATAAGATTCTATATAGAATCAATGTTCAACCACCTGTGTAATCTATGATAAGTTTTATATATGAAATTAATTATATCAAAAAATACATCATTAGGGGTTTGGTTGACTGAAAAAATCCTGGTCAGTCTGTGATGAGCCAATTCAATATCAATCGAAAACATGAAGCCTAGAGAATATACAAACGTTAGTTTGGCAATTTATTCCTGACGTTACTTCTGAATTGGCAGTAAACAGGTCAGTCAATATTAGTAATTCTCACCCATCTTATACCCAAATAACCGCTACTCATTTCGAAATTCACACATTTCTGACTGGTTTGAAGTTACCCTTGAGTAGGAAGATCATTTTTACTATCTCATCGATCCATTAATGATTTTTCTTCATCAGAGATCTGAAATGAAAGCAATCTTCAATAATCTGTTCAAACTATGAAAAGTAGTGTATATTTATGGAATTTGATATAATAAAGAAACTTTCACTCATTCCTTCATTTAGTAATATAGCTAGAAGAGTTCTAGTTCAAAATCCCGTTTTTTTTTATGACGCTTCATTCTGGCGATTTCACGACCTTCGATCGGAACCTTGTGAAACACCCATCTCAAGGAAGATGTGAAGTAGTCGTACCCACTCCGTCACTTTTGGTGTCATTCAGTCAACCAATCAGAAGCTACCGTGCGTACAGAGAGAAATTTAAATCAGTAAGGAAACAAAGCGACTCGGAGCGCATTTCAAGGTCGTGCCTCATTGGTAAATGTTTCAGAGAGAGACTTTAGAGAGTGGAAGTGAGGAACGTGTGACGTAATCGATGCAAAGAAGGGTGGAATGAGTATCGGAGAGATTCAAAGAGCGTGGACCTTTTGGGACTCCACCTCACCCCTCAGGCCTTCTCAGGCCTTCACCCCTAAGCCCCCTCGTCACGTACCAGTCAGGTGGTCCTAGTGGTCATCGGCAATTGAGGGAAATTCAATCAAAAATCTTACCGGTATGAGGAGTGAACTCAGATCGTCGGCGTGGTAGGAGTTGTCCTTAGTCTCGACTCCAACATGGAATATTGAACGTGATTGCGAATTGTTGATATTTATGGTGGTTGTTTTGTCACCTGTTATCGTCGATTCAGAATTATGAATGAAAACAGAGAAGAATGGAATGAGTAAGATTCGAAGATGAGAACGTGGTTGAATCATAAAAATAATGAACGTGGATGAAAATATTGGAAGCGCGAAAGTGATGAATGAACAGAAAAAAGGAAAGAACATAGCGGCGAGTAGTCAGTTCAGTATACAGGGCATTTCAAAACATACCATACATACATTCATATAAAAAAAGTCAAATCCTCACAGAACTCACTTCTCAATTATTTTCATTACAATACATAACAAAAAGTAGTAGCACATTGTCTTAATTCCAACATTTGATGTCAACTGTTGCTCCTCAATCGTCCCAAAACGTCGTCTTCTCATGGGTCTTTCCAATCTTGAGAAAAAAAAAAGTCGCAGGGGAGGCAAATCTGGTGAATATGGTGGCTGGGGCCAGATTACGGTGTTGTTTCTGGCTCAAAAATTACGTACAAGCAATAACAAGTAAGCAGATGCTTTATCGTGATGCAGAAGCCATCAATTTTTTCCACAATACCGGACATATTTTTCCGTATTATTTTTCGCAAGCAGCACATAACTTCATGATAATAATCCTTATTGGTCATACGACCATATGACAAAAACTCCTGATGCACTACGTCGCAGTATTCTGAAACAAACTTCTGCCACACGCTTCATGCCCAAGGTTTCCAGAAAAATTGCATGGCATGAGCCAACCTGTATGCCGGCATCCTCAGCAACTTCTCTAGTAATGATTCAACGATTCCCCATAACAATTTTCCCCACTTTCTCAACATTTTCATCGGTTGTTAATGTGCTGGAGCGTCCAAAGCTAGCGTCATCATGCACTCTTTTCAACCTTCTGTGAAAAGCTTGTACCACTTATATTCTATATATGTGAAGGTATCGGACGCAAATTGATGAAAATTTATAACGTATTCAAGAAACTCTTCATTGTGGGATTTAGTGAGGTTTAGTGAAAGTCTCACTATCAGGTGTTTCTCGAAAACATTTTTCGTACTCAAACTACAATCACCGGATGCCACTGTCAACATTTCAAATGTTATTGAGTTCTCAGTTCTGTTTTCAAGACAGAATTTGATGCAGATTATTTGATCGATTTTAGTCGTTTCGACGTGGGTGCTTTGTTCGCTCACTCAAATCGACCGCCCCATCGATTTTCATATGCTATCGTGCAACCCNAATGTCTCATCTCACCCTGAAGAAGGACTTCGCATGGGCGAAATTATTGTTAAGTTTTTTCTCCGAATGTGACCAGCATAATGAAACAATTGGATCAGGACGTTCTCGAAACATCAAAAAGAATTATAGGCGTTTGTTCCTTGAACATTTGTCAGCATACACAGAACAAGAAGATAGATATAATTATCGATGGATTGAGGAAGATCACACTAAAAACTATTATATACTGGGTGAGTCAAGCTTGGAATTCTGTGTGCGCTTCCACTATTCAAAAATCTTGGTCAAAAGTTATTTACTCTTGAGGAATCTTATGACAGTGAAGAAGATATTCCATTGAATGATTTGGCTTCTGAATTGAAAAGCCGTGGAGGTCCCGGTTGTGAGACATAAGAAATGAAGACGAAGAACTATATATCGAAGAAATAACGGATGCTTTGCAGGAAACGGGAGAAGTCGATGACGATGACGAAGTGGTAGATGAAGAGCCTGCCACTAAGATATCCCATCAAGCTTTTGCTGCTTTAGGAAAGACTTTGATTTATATTGAGCAGCAACCAGAGGCAACACCTGCTGATTTACTCCTTCTTAATAGATGACGGAACATTGGAGTGAGAAAAAGACGACACAATATGAAACAGAAGCAAATAGATAATTATGTAACTGTTTTGTAATGTACTCATCTACATTCCACATATCTCTTCGTTAATGAAATATTTTAGAAGCATAAATAATATTTTGTTAAACGAATAATAAATATATCCGGATTATCCGAATTTAACCGAATAACTGGGTTCTACTGTACCTCGATTTAAATGATTTTTTCAAAATATTTTTTTTTTGTTCCAGGTATATGTGTTCTGTTATTTGGCTACACGTTAATTGGTTCCGTAATATTCCTAGCCATCGAAGGAGGAAGTAGTTACCAGCACCAAATTCTGGCGACTACCTCTTTATCAACGAATAGCAACACGAAAACTAAACATGCCAACCACACCGCTGAATTGAAGGCCAGAACCGATGAAGCTAGAGCAAGGACTGTCGAAAGTATCTGGGATATTACTGTTAGTTTAAACATTCTGTACAGGTGAGTGGATTCAATGATAATGATACATATATGCCTCGTTGTACAGAATAGTTTTGTTTGTATTTTTTCGGTCTATAATCTTCCATAATCTAATGAGTAACTGGAACTGAATTGATAGATAATCTGCGTTCCCCACAAGCGAATCCATTAGATCTGTTAGATTTTGAAAAAGGAAGGTTTTCCGAATCATCAATCTAATCAAGTTCGGTCGGTAGCCAAGCGGTTCGGCGTGGGTGCTTTGTTCACTCACTCGAATTGACTGCGATGTTGGTCGGTAGTTCAAGCCCTAGTGTGAACGATCCATCTTCACTTGCTATCGTCTAACCCATATTAGGAATCACACGTTAAAAGGTAAGACCTCGTTAATCCTTGGCTCGCACAAGTTTCGACTTCTGAGGGTTGTCGTTCGTAGGGGTGCGACAGCTGGTTAACGGAAAAACAGATTTTAAACAGATTAAAAAAGCTAAAAACAGAAATTTTATTATTTTCAATGATTGCTAAATTTGTAAGCTACTAACTAATTGCACTCTTCGAAGGTTTAAACTCGCAGTAGCTTTTTGGAGTAAACTTTTCAGTTTGCTCTTTATTACACTCCAGCAGATTCTCTATTGATTTTGCTTAGTTTATTCATCAGATAGTTTATTCACTCAAAAAATATATGTTTAAAAGAATAAATCATGTATTATTGAAAAAATAAACTAAACCAAGTTGAACTGGAAATACAATAACAAATATGAGTAAGAATGCCTACGAATATATTCCTTCATCACCAACAGTTCAAACAGAATTGATCTAGGTAAGCTCAGTTCATGACTGAGTATTGAGCGGAAGCTGATTCAATCACTATATCGAGTGGTCCAACGAAAAGTATGCACCTTGCTTTTCTCCTTTTTTTGTAACTTAACGCAAAAATGCTCGGACAGGTCAATTTTGGTTTTGAGGGGGGGACACATTTTAGATGTATATTTCTACCTGTGCCTTCAACCCCCTAGCGAGGGTGAGTAACAACCCTAAAATTTTAANGGTTGTTACTCACCCTCGCTAGGGGGTTGAAGGCACAGGTAGAAAAATACATCTAAAATGTGTCCCCCTCAAAAGCAAAATTGACCTGTCTGAGCATTTTTGCGTTAAGTTACAAAAAAAGGAGAAAAGCAAGGTGCATACTTTTCGTTGGACCACCCTGTATAAATGAAAGGCGTGCTTGGATGCACGTCTGTGAATTATCTTTCATTGTGCTGGTGTGTTTCTGACCTGTAGAACGATATATGTATAGGAATAATTAAATCCATTAACATCTTATATCAGCCGTGATAAAAAAAACAGCATTCAGATAGTACCAATATAGAATCATTAACTTCGAAAGAATATGAGATGAAGCCCATCCAAAGTAAGTCCTTTTCATGATTTTGGATGCACAGGACGGAGTTCAGGCTATTTTTGAATTATTGCCCTTTATATTCATATTGAAAAAATCAGTCATTACGATCGACCGTCCAAAGTAGCCTAGCCATTTTTTTAATACCTCACAAATGAAATGTCGAAGGGATATCTAATTTGTTTGAATCAACTCACCATTTCACTTGCTCAGTTTGTTATAAATGGAAGAATTTTCGAAACCAAGTGTATTTTATTTTATTTTATCCGTTACGAACAAGCGAATGATTTTTTTTCAGAATACAAACTTAGATATATTACCCCTTATACTATAGGTGAAAAAATGAACTGGTGGAGTTGTTTTCATATTCATCCATTACAAACAAACTGGCAAAGTATTTCTCTTCAAAATATTTTATTGACTGAAACAACATGCTTTTGTTTCATTGCTATTCGATCAACCAAACCTAATAGGAGAAACTAAAATCAAGAATTGCACGCTGGGATTTCTTGACAAAATATGATATACTCAATAACCTTTTTCATATTATTAATGCCATCGATAAGAAACAATGACTCCAACAGAGAATGCATTCTCAGTTTCGAAGATAAAATAACCGATTACGGAGGTATAATCACTTTCATTAGTGAAAAATTCGATTCATAACTTCTCATTATACTAGTTCTTTTAAAATTATTCCGTACTTACATAAAAGTTTTTTGGAATGATGAATTCGAATTTGAAAGCAATTTTTATTCATATTGAACTTTAACATACTTTTTGTGAATAATTGACCCCATATCCCTTCTCAGTAATACAGCATTCTAACCAAATAAGATATTGGGCGGACACCATGTATATTGAGATTATCACCAGAAAGAACAGAAAATTTTTTGCGATGAATATTAGAATGAAACAAACAAAATCAAAGCACTCATCAAATAACTTTTTTCATATTTGTGTCTTGATTTGTCATTGACAAACCGCAATGGAGTTTATTTTAAAATATTATCTCATCAGAAAATACGAAGGTAATAGGTGAGATCTCAACATTTCCACCAAATCTTTTTGTAGCACCTGTTTTTTTTTCTATTTTTTGAAGACAAAACTCGAGCACTACTGGAAAACCTTAAGGCGCTGTCAAAGCGGTGCCTGTGCGAAAGAAGCAATTCACATTGGATTTGAATCGCTGGAGATTATATCAATTTGGAAAAAAGTTCTCAGGAAGTTTATTCCACACAAACGCAGCTTTCCAGATGGAAGAGTTTTTGAACAGTGAATTTCGAGGTGTACTGAGTTGAACCTCAAAACGATGAGCAGCCACAGCCCTTCGTGTATTTCTGATATGTACCGCTTTTGGTGAAATCAAATGTGCCAATTCACATGAACTCTTCCCGAGAAAGTATCTACAGAAGAGAGACAGGCAACCAGGCAATCAAGGTTGCACGTGATGTTCGGGTCTCCAATCAGGCGGATGGTTTTTTTCTAGATGGAATCCAACAACTTCAGGGTATGTTTGGTGGTAGAGCTCCATACATGAGATACTGATGTGAGCTTTATAAAGCATCAAAAGTTACTGAGGTGTGTGCAGTTTTCTGATTCGAAACAGTGTTCCGAGCTTTTGAAAAGCAGTCTTTGCAATTCCAGCGACATGATTGTGCCAAGACATATTGGTGTCCAATTATCTTCTTGGAGAAAACCGATTCCTGTGTTTTTGTGGCATTGAGTTGAACCTGGTTCCTTTCACCCCAATTCGAAATCACGTCACAATAAAAAGAAGGTTGTAGACAATATGGACCCCTGGGAAGCAATTCACATTGGATTTGAATCGCTGGAGATTATATCAATTTGGAAAAAAGTTCTCAGGAAGTTTATTCCACACAAACGCAGCTTTCCAGATGGAAGAGTTTTTGAACAGTGAATTTCGAGGTGTACTGAGTTGAACCTCAAAACGATGAGCAGCCACAGCCCTTCGTGTATTTCTGATATGTACCGCTTTTGGTGAAATCAAATGTGCCAATTCACATGAACTCTTCCCGAGAAAGTATCTACAGAAGAGAGACAGGCAACCAGGCAATCAAGGTTGCACGTGATGTTCGGGTCTCCAATCAGGCGGATGGTTTTTTTCTAGATGGAATCCAACAACTTCAGGGTATGTTTGGTGGTAGAGCTCCATACATGAGATACTGATGTGAGCTTTATAAAGCATCAAAAGTTACTGAGGTGTGTGCAGTTTTCTGATTCGAAACAGTGTTCCGAGCTTTTGAAAAGCAGTCTTTGCAATTCCAGCGACATGATTGTGCCAAGACATATTGGTGTCCAATTATCTTCTTGGAGAAAACCGATTCCTGTGTTTTTGTGGCATTGAGTTGAACCTGGTTCCTTTCACCCCAATTCGAAATGACGTCACAATAAAAAGAAGGTTGTAGACAATATGGACCCCTGGGAAACACCAGCGTTGATAGTGAAAGTATTCGAGAAATATCCATCGACGGCCACTTGCAGGGAACGTTCTTACAGGAAGCTGAAGAGCCATACACAAGAATGATCCGACAAGCCATAGCATCGAAGTTTGTCCAGCAAACTCTTATACCACACACGGTCAAAGGCCTTAGAAGCGCAACAGTTCTTGATTTCCCATGTTTCTTGATTGCGTTATTCCAAATATGGGTGACATACGATAGAAGGTCGCCTGTTGATCTTTGTTTCCGAAACCCATATTGATGGTCGCTCAAGATGTTGAAGCCTTCCAAATATTTGAGGATATAATGGTTTACGACTTTCTTCAGGATTTTTGATATCACTGATAGCAAAGCGACTAGTTTGTATTTATTTGTAATATTTTTCTTGCTTTTTTGGGGATAGGCTGAACGCGAGCAATCTTCCAACAAGAAGGAAACATCCCTTTCTCATAAGACAGGTAGAAAAGTCTGCAAAATACTGGTGGGAGTTCATTTGCGCACTTTTCAAGTACGATGACGGGCACTTCATCAGCACCAGACGCCTTGTTAATATTGAGCTGGTTCAAAATTCGCCTGACTAGTCGCTGTCTGAAAGTAATTTCCTGCCTTGTGGATCCTAGTGTGGAAATAGTGAGTGGTGCCTTTCCAGAAAGCTCTCAGAGCAGCGACTACTGGCAAACCTTTGATTATATACTGATTTTTTTCACTTTGCTGAATTTTCATCAAAATTCCATAAAGTTTTGTATCACATAGATATGCTGAAATTCATTCACCAAATTTGAAGTCATTACTCTCGTTGTTGAATTCCAGGCTGATTTTCAGAAATTGAAACAGATGTGTTCTGCTCACAAATTCTTTTCTTTTCACGATAATCTGAAAGAGCAAAAATTTGAGCCTTATCTCACTAGTAGCTTGAATATATCTTCTTGCATTGAATTCCCAATCTGTCCGTTCCGATTATAAATAAATTCATCTCATGTATTTACCCACAATACCCAGAAAATCCTATGATCCCATGTAATTCTTACAGAGACAACTGGACCAGATTGGCTGCCCAAGAGATAACCAGATTTCAAAATGAACTCCTCAGATCGATGACGGAAGAGATGGCGTTACAGCAACCCCTCCAAGTCGACGCACATGGTGGAAAACATGTTCATGAAAATTATGAATGGACTTTCGCAAAGGCATTCCTCTATTCATTGACTGTTCTCACTACAATAGGTGAGTCTATTGCTTTCCTAATAGGTATAAAAAACGAATAGTATAATAGTATTTGTTTGAAGGTGATTGACAATGTNGACTGGTGAAAGTGGCGATGCCATTGGCAGTCCCCCATCTTGTGTAAAGATTTCGTCCTTCAGTTGGAAATAACAGATTCGTACACAGCATCCTAGTAATTCCATGATTACTTCTATAGGTAGATTCGTTCTCTCTTCTCGCTTATACCGTTCTTCTCGCTTAGACCGATCATCAGCTCCAGAGATACGGCTACTCAAAAATTGTCTAGATTTTCACTTCCCTTAATACAACCATTACAACGAAAAACATCGTCTTTTTTGAATAATTCAAGGCATTTTATCGAACTACTAGGGTCAATTGAGGTCACACAGGAAGATCAACTAATTAGTTTCGACGTGGAAAGCCTTTACACCAACGCTCCGGTCGAAGAAGCACTCCAAATCATACAGAGGAAGCTATCCGAAGACGGGAATCAAAAATAGAATATTTATATCGTGAGCGAAGGGCTTTAATATGCTCTTCTTCCGAACTTCTGAAGACTATGGCGTGTGTGAGTCTCGCAAGATGACACCGTTATATTTCAAAGAATTTTTATGAGCTCATCAAGTAAGGAGTTTCAGAAGTTGGGTATAACCAAAATTCATATGAAAAAAATGTGAAAAAAAGGTAAATATGGAAAGGAAGGGTAATTCAATTAGTAATCCGTTCAAGCCTGTTATCACGTCAGAGTTCAGTAATTTTTCAATTGTTGTATTGATGAAATCAAGAAGGAATTCAATAACTTCCTTCGAAAGTACAAAACGAGTAACATTGACATACGAAATAAATAAAATTTTTTTACAACTGTCGGAAAAACTTGACATGTGTGAATGTTCGAATGTGTGAATGTTTTCTTTTTTGACTGCCAAAATACTTCACAAAAAACATGAAATGTAACTCTTTGAAGGATTTATTTTCAACAGAGTCAGTTATTCTTGAATATTCATTATAAAGCAATTTCATTTATCGAAATAATAATTAATAGTTAAGTTTCAACAAACACTTCCAACATAAATTTCCGAAGATGTTCCATGTTGTTGCTGATCATAAACGTTATATATTTCTTGAAGAGTTGATTCCACAATTTTATCAGAGTCAGTTATTCTTGAATATTCATTATAAAGCAATTGCATTTATTGAAATAATAATTAATAGTAAAGTTTGAACAAACACTTCCAACATAAATTTCCGAAGATGTTCCATGTTGTTGCTGATCATAAACGTTATATATTTCTTGAAGAGTTGATTCCACAATTTTATCAGATATTTTAATTTGTTTGGAAGAAGATGGACCATTCAATATTTTGTTAGAAATCTCTGCTACGGAGGCAGATTTACAGCCACCGTGACGTTTCATTGATGTTGCATGCCCGCTGCATTGGCCAGGTGAGTTACAGACCTTATCCTGGAACAGTGACCTGCGTAGCGCTTATACAAGTCTTTTCCGAGCCACTTTGCAATCTAGCTGGGAATTTCTTCTATTTTATTCATCCCCACATGATGATTATTACATTTTCCTATCAAAAATGATCTGTCATGAAGAGAAGAGGATTGAAACTTCCTATGTTTTTTGTCACTTCCATTTATAACTAACGTTACTGTAGTTTCGTCCTTTAAGGAAATTTTCAAACTTATATATAAGTTTGTATGTATGTATGCATAAATTTGGAAATGTTCTCATAGGACGAAACTGCAGTAACGTTAGTTACAAATAAAAGTGGTAAAAACATAGAAAGTTTCAATTCTCTTTCCTTCATTATGATTTTCTACCACGTAGTAACACGTAGGCTACATCCAACAATTTATTGATAATATCTGTTACTTTCTGTATGAGGCGGCTTTAGTGCTTGCTTCAACAATCAATATAGATCCAGCATATTCAATGACCTCAATAGTTATATGTTATAATTCTCCATGGCAAAAAGCACAGCTGATACCCAAAATAAGGACAACCTAAATGAAAAATATTGAAATCACTACTTATCTTACAAAATTATGATTATATCGTTCGTTACCTTATGAAGTAAATTTGTGTCGTTATCAGCATCTTGGATACATCAATTGATATTATTCCTTGATGAATCTCCGGATTTTTTTTCTCGGTATCCAACGCTTCTATTCTTAATGAGCGGGACCAATTTTGAAATTCCGACCACATTGTCGAAATTTCCAAAAGCAGTATGCTGAAGATGAAAGGTCCTTCAGACTAAAAGAATAATTCGACGTTTTCAAATCATTCCTTGGCATGCAACCACAAGTCCCCAATCTGAACGATACGGAAATTAATTCCATTTTCCTAAATTTAAATTTTTCGAGTTGACCCGTTCAAAAAAAAGGGGAGGGGGACATTGAAGAAATGTATACTGTATACTGTATATACCTACATCAAATCAACTTACAGAATAAATCGAAAGCAGGAAAAAAAATTGAAAGATTACATTTTTTGAGATCCTTTCCAGTAAAGCCATTTATCCATTTTCAAATGAGTCATTGCTAAATACTCTCCCCAAATATTTAACCGAATGAAGTAAGATCAATTTTCAAAAATTTTAATGATATTTTCTCGTAACTGGCAGTATCCTTAGATCATTGGAAGCCAGAACGATTCGAAGTTATTTATCAGTTTGCATAGAAACTCCTACCAAATTTCCGTTAAACATCCCTATTTGGCACCTTAAACCCTCTAGTAACGCTTTTGTCGGGATTTAAACTATCGAATAAAGTTTGAATGGGTATATTAAACATATTCACCCCAGTATAAGTAATGAAATCAGTTAACATTAGAGGCAACAAATCGCAAATTCAAGTCATCACGACAATGTATTCCTCCTTCTCCGAATTCCTCCAGCTCGGCTTATATGTGGAAAAATTTACATACTCCGGTTCAACCCCTCAAACATTGTGAATTCTCAGTATTTTCGCTAAGCTTAGCGGTCTTTTCCATTCAAACAACACTGGAGTGCACTTAGAATTCTTTTTTTCCTCACTTTGCCTCGGGAATTTTTATTTGTAGCTATGCGCCAATTTTGGCTAATAGTCGGTAGTTTCGTGGCTTTCTGAACGTTTATTGAAAACGAGGTTCGAGTTAGGGAGGAGCTTTGTAAGGGGTTGCGGCCGTAGGACACCTTTACGTTCGAGTTTTCTCCTGAATGAGAGCACTTGGTGTCTGGATTGAGGTATCCTTCGAATAATACTGATGCGTTCCTACAAATTGAGGGTATGAAACCTCCTTTTGAATATATATTAAGTGACGTAGAAGAAAGAATGCCCGGTATTGATGAATTCATCACAAATAATTTCTATGAATTTTTGTTGAAATTAGGATGAAAAATAATCAGATTTTCAACCATATTGATTGGTTGATGATGGTGGTGGTTTCAGTTTTGACGGCTGTTCTCTCAGTAAAGTAAGTGAGCTGCAGTTGTGTTTTGTAGCTACAATTATCGTGCAATACATTGTGCAGAGCTGTGATTCAACATAATTTCTAGAAACATGTTGATTCGTTTTCCTGCACCCGAAGATAACTTTTTACATTTCTGCAAAAGCAGATGTCGGTTTTTAACATTGGTCAAACCACTAACACTGGCATTGAAACTCAGCAAGCTAACTTGGGTTTCACATCAATAGGTGAATCCACGTATGTATCGCTTCTCCATGCAGTGATTTTCATCTGATTCGATTTTCCACAGTTTGTCTTCAATCGAGGACCGCTTGACCGGTACCGATGACTCCCAAGCTGAGAAACAGCTGTCTACCTGTGACTCTTAAATTTAAATCAAATTTTGTTTAACGACTAAAGGTAGTGCATGGAAGATGTCTGACTTCCAGTCAGATACCTTCAAAAAGTAAACTTACTACATTTCACAAATCAGAAGAGATCACACCTCAACCATTCAACAAAAAGCGAATGACCTCATTTCTGAATTAAAGAAATCTAAAATGATATCTGAACAAACAGCAAAAGAATTCATTATACATAACTCTAAAACACCATAATATTACGGATTACTTACCAAAAGTTTTTTACCCTACTTTCAAATTCAGACCAATCATTTCATCCATTGATGCTCCAAATAGTAAAATATCTGTAATGATAACAAAAATTCTGACTCAAGCATAAAACTTGAATAATGATTATTATATTAAAAATCCGTTTGGATTCGCTTTTTTCATTAATGAAAAATATATCCCAACAGGATATAATTCAATGAATCTTGATGAGGTATTTTTTCAACGACATACGTATAGCACTGGTTGAAAACGGAATAATAAATTAATGGGATGATGAAAAAAATTGTCAAATTACCCAAAACAAAGTTCTTGAACTAACTGAATTCATTTTCAACTCAGGTTACTTTTTATCTGAAGGAATTTATAATAAATAAATCTCAGGTACACCGATGAATGCAACAATTTCACCAATACTTGAACAAAACGTTATGGATGATATATTTGATGAAGTACTCTTCCAAGTTAGTTTCAAAGTTCCGTTTTTCCAAAAATTTGTTGATGATATAATTTGTGTTGATGAATCACAAGAAAGATGAATCACAAGAATTACTTGAGAGGTAAACAGTTATTACTCCAAATTACAATTCACAATAGAACTGAAAGATAAAAATACTATTCCTTTTTCGATCAAAAATAATTCACAGAAATGACAGTTCATCAATGACAGATTGGTAAATTGAACAACAAGTTCAGAAAGATATATTAAATATAATTCGTTTTATCAAAACTTAATGAAAATAAATCGTATTCTCTGTCCGAAAAATAGAATCGAAAAACTAGTTCATACCTTACTAAAACAAAAAAATTTACTGTTATTGAAAAGTATATTAATAGGAAATTCTTTTCCAGAAAAATTATTGAACAGATTTATTTTTACCACTGTCAGTAAGACAGAGAGTACAAATGAAAATGCTCATAGTCAGATGGAAGAC